TGCAACTTTAAACGTTAATAACTTTGTAACGAAGCCTCAAATAAAAAATTACTATTCTTCATTTTCGTCTTATTTTGGCCTCCAGAATCCCCCCATTAAAGTTTTTTCCACGGTAGTCGAACATCCTGTATGTGTGAAAGCATATATTGAAAAAAATTTGAAGTTTTAGGCTATAAAAGTTAGTATCGAGTGTCATCGCGTGGTTTTCGTTGCTGAACTCGCTCGACTGACTCGAGCAGACATAACAACTGGGCTGGCAGACTTGTAAGCGCAGAAAAAGGAAGCCAAGGAATAAGAAAGTTCCTTCCGTATCCGCGATCGGCTCGGTTCGCTGCGTCAACGAAGAAATGCATCAGGGGAGTTAATCGATCGCAAACGATAACGGGATCTTTGATGTATCTTGGGACGCGTAATCGCGGATACGTGATTCGGCGAAACGCGTAACGAGCAACTCAGCCAGCCTGAACGGTAAACTCACCCCCTAGATCGAGCACTGTAACGAGCCTCGCCTCGAAAGGACGTCTTCTTTCGACCGAGTACTCGACAAAAACCGTTGCAACGCCACTACTAGGCTTAGCCTAATTGTATAACGTATCTACACTCTCAAACTACGCGCTGATATCACGGTTAGGTGACTCGAGAGACCTCTAAACTGTTAATGGGATCAATTCTGAGGGTCAATTGTTTGGTATTTTTTTGTAAAGAAAGTATGCCACTTTTTGCTTTGGTGATTTTTATATACACTTGTCACCCTCTCAATGATATTTACAAATTTTTTCAGGGAGATATTCTCAAAAATAGTTATAATACAAGGCCCCAGAGATAAAGGGTTATCCAGAGGTCTCAGTTGCTTTACTAAATTTTTTTTTTATAAAGGTACTATACCACTTTTTGGATTGGTGATTTTTATACATATTTGTCACCCTTTCAGTAGTACTTACGAATTTTTACAACGAGAAATATTCAAAATTAGTGTCAAAATCTCTAACACAATCGTGCACCTGGGGAAAGTGCCCTAAATCAGTATTCTAAATTGTCTAAATAAAAAAAAATGAAAACTATTCTTAATTAGGATACATTTGCCCATAGCTAGTAGCAATAGAACAGAAAAAAAATTGCTATCAAAAAAATGGCAGCATTTTGAATTTAAAATATCGATTTTTCTTGCTTCAACTTTAAAACTCTAAAAAAAATAGAAAAAATAATTTTGATTTCAGTTTTTTACTAGCTATAGTAACACATGTACCATAATTAGGTGCAAAATTTGAACGAAATCGAAATAGAATGGAAGATTTTCATCACTAAAGGTCTTCAAAAGTATATTTTTAATTCTATATATGTCATACATATTTAAAATTTTGTTATTATTATTATTACACTGTGTATGTTTAATGAAACCTAAATAGAAGTTAGTTAAATCCCCAAAGATCCTCCAAAATAATATTTTCCATTCCCCCATATGACCACTCACTCTCACCCAATTAAAAACACAGTTTATTAAATTTCTGTTGCCAAAGACCGCCCATTTACCTTTCTTGCGACACCCTCGATTTCGTGGAAACGATTTCTGTCGATCAAAAGTCGCGATAAATAGAAAAAAAAATGAATCCGCCAAAATCGTTAGAAATCGCCTAATCGATTCTAAATCGCGAGTTACGCCTTGTAAATTAACCAACACGCGAACAATTACAGCCAGCAACGCCGGTAATTGCTCCTGGCAAAGTGACTCGTTATGGTCGGCGCGAACCGCGATTTTTCCCAATAGATCACATACGCTTGTAAATCCGCTGTATCTCGTCGTTAAAAAGATTAACTCGATACGCTACATCGGGCAGCGCTAATTACTTGTCGTTCCACCAATTACCAGCCAGAGGGAGATAACATTGTCAGCTGGCGAGCCGCTACGAAGCGGCTGTCGCCGTGTTTGCATAGACCAAGAATCCACGCGTGTCCACTGATCCCCATGGATCCATAGATTCCACTATTTCACTCTATTTCACACTAAAACTCCAAAAAATTCCAAAGAACTGTAGAACTTTCACACGACGGTCACAGAGAGAGAGAGAGATCGGTGGCGATCGATCGAGGATCGAGGATCGATGACGGAGGCGAAGTCGTTCGTTCGTACGCCACACGCTACGCGACCTGACAACCGATCGAAATGCCGGAGGACTGTTTTAGTGGCTGCTCAATGCATCGCCACTGGCAGTCACTCCCTTCTCCCGATTTCCGACATCTCTTTTCTCTTTCCCTCTCTCTCCCACCGCCACCTCCGCCGACCACCTCCAGGCCTTCGAAGGCTTACGAAAGACCGGCGGAGGGAACGCTGTGCAAAACACGCCGTTGGTTCAGCTGTTTTCGAGCTGAGCTCGAATTACGATTATCCGGGGCGCGTTTGGGACCGACGATACACCCGGATAGGTGGATTAGCGCATCTTTTTTTATTCGAACGTTCTTAATCGTGCATTCTTCAAGCCTCTCCGTTACCTCGTGCGCATATTTTTGTATTTTGCGTTAAAAAAAGGCGATTTGTTTCGAATTATACATTCGTGAAATTCGATGTTCCTTTTGAGGGTGGAAAAATTTTAATGGAGGATTCTAGAGGCCAAAATAAGACGAAAATAAAGAATAGTAATTTTTTAATTGAGGCTTCCTTAAAAAGTTATTAACAATTAAATTCGAAAATTTCGAATCGTTCTGGAAAAATTATTTTCAGTTGTGGGGGTCAATTATGACCATTTTTAGTCATTAGACATACCATCGAATTCCTACGGATTTTCGAGAAAAAAATTCGAGTAGACATAAATTTTTTGACAAAATTAACAAATTCCAAATCGATCTGAAAAAATTATTTTTGTCTAGGAGAGTTAATTACAATCATTTTTTGTGAATAGACATACCCCCGAAATCCTAACCATTTTCTAGAAAAAAATTCGAGAAGATGTGAAATTTTTCGACGAAAAAAAAAGATTTCAAATCGTTCTGGAAAAATTATTTTCGATTGAAGGAGTCAATTATAATCATTTTTGGTGGATAGACATACCCTCGAAATCTTATCCACTTTCTAGAAAAAAATTCGAGAAGGTGTTGAACTTTTCGACGGAAAAAAAAAATTTCAAATGGTTTTGGAAAAATTATTTTCGGTTGCAGGAGTCAATTGCAATCATTTTTCGTGAATAGATATATCCCCGAAATCTTGCGCATTTTCGAAAAAAAAATTCGAGAGGGGCGGATCTTTAAATGTTAATAACTTTTTAACGAAGCTTCCATAAACAAATTGGTATTCTTGATTTTCGTCTTATTTTGGCCTCCAGAATCCCCCATTAAAATTTTTCCCATGGTTGACTGAACACCCTGTATATTAAACAGATTTATTTGCATTCTTATATAATTCATTGTTTTTAAATTATTATTATCAATGAATAATACAATTCAATGGCCTTAATATTTTAGTATTAATTTAGTCATTTCTATTCTGTTTTAGCCATATAAGTTTGCAAGAAAGGGCATTGAAAAGTATTATTCATTGATAATAATAATTTAAAAACAATGAATGCTATAGGAATGTACTATAAAAAAAAATTCACTGTATGCACTGTGGGTATTGCAAAAAAAAATCAGAGAATAATTGTGAAATTTTGAAACTCCAATTATTTTCCTAGTTTCCAACATAAATTATACATTTGAAAGGCGGCTGTTATGCTTTCTGTATTTATTTATGCGGAAGTGAAAAATTTCTATCGGTACACATTGCACTACTTTCTTCGAGTAAAAGCTAAACGAGCTATTAAACTAATTACAGCTTATTCCAAGAAATAAATATTCTATAATACAATTCTGGGGGTATAACAAATATTTTGTATTTGTTGATTGCCTTGCAAACTCAAAAAAAAATATTTCTTGCAATACAGTGGTTTCTGAAACCATTCAAATAGCATAAGAAATATTTTTTCTACCCCCATAATTAAAAGACATATTAGGTAGCCTTTATTGTTTTAGGGGTGGTCGACCACCGTGGGAAAAATTTTGATGAGAGATTCTACAGGCCAAAATAAGACGAAAATCAAGAATACTAATTTTTTAATTGAGGCTTCCTTAAAAAGTTATTAACGTTCAAATTTGAAATGTGCAAACTATTAACTTTAAACGTTAATAACTTTTTAACGAAGCCTCTATTAAAAAATTACTATTCTTGATTTTCGTCTTATTTTAACCCCCAGAATCCCCCATTAAAATTTTAAGAGCGAACAAATTTTCTAAATTTTCTAAATTCTCTAATTTTCAAAATTATCTAAAGTCAATATCTAAAAACGCTAAAATAAACGAGATGCGCTGTGGATGAGTATGTTATACACTTCAGTTCCAGCAACCCCTTTCGCCTGTTCCTCTTTCTCAATTGTCCTCCCTCGCAAAGCACCGCCTCCACCTTCACTTTCATTCTGAAGAGACGGTTCACGAGACGAGTAAAAGGATCGGTGTATGCAAACATAAAATACAGCACGGCTCACGGGGCTACATATTTTCTACCGTATTATTAATACTTTTTCTTCGGCCAGAGAACGCGGTACTTTTCATTTGCCCGTTAACGCTGGGCGCTCACGTGCGCCATTCTTTCTATTTACAGCACTCGACTGGGGGAACGTGCGGTAAAAAATTTTATTACAATTTCTACGGAGCTTTCGTCCATTTATATCATTTTCCCACGCATTATAAAACTCCACTCTTCTACGCTTTTATTAATATTAACTTAACAATGGGATGATTACTATTGTTCATAAAATTACATTATATTTTTAACTAACATCAAGAACTCGTAGAAATTTCAAACGAATAAATAGTATTTAAATAATAGACTATAATGTTACGTGACTAACCTAGAACTGTATTTGGTATTTTATTATCAAAAGTTTAACGAATTAACGATAAAAACGATGATTTTATTTAAACCTTTGGTAATAAATTTAACTATTTTTAATAAAATTCTATCACATTTCTAAAATATTGATTTAATTTGTAATGCAATACGAGCATATGGGACGATTTATTCTGTAACATCATCCGCCATTATTAATCAGTGGCTCCGCTTATATTACAGTGTACGTTGACGCGGTTAACACAGATGTCGCTGTTAGCGCGGCGGATCTATGTTCACCATAAACACGCGATGCTTGGCGAGTCGGTGTGCGTGTCCGTGTACACGTGTACACATGTTACCGCCCCTTGGATCGGTCTCACGAGCCCCTCCAGGAACGAGACGGGAAGAGACAGGAGAAAAGAGAAAAACCGAAAGGCAGGAGGCAGAGCTTCAGGACTGAAAGGAGAGAGTCATTCGAACTGGCGGTGAATGCGACGAGAACCGAAAACCCCGAGCTCGATGCTTGTCCGCGGACGTGTAAAGGGTTAACAATTCCTTCGGATAGTAAATCTTTAGTGCCGGTGGCGAGGAATCTGCTCGTCTTTCGCGAAAAAGAAACGTTCCGCTGACGTTACGATCGACCACCGTTTGTTAGGCGACACGCTGTTATCTGGACGGATCGATTCAGGTTAGGTGCACTTTCGAACGATGCAACATTCGATCGTCGACGCCATATTGGATTTTCGAGTCACCTGACAACAATACAGCCTGTCATACGAATACCATTTCCCGCTAAAAAAATAAAATCATCGTTATGGGAAAATAGACGATTGAAATTATCTAAATTTATTATCAAATTTTTCTAGGTTAGTTATTTGTTTTTTTAGCCTACTGTTTGAATAGTTTTTCCCCGCTAAAAAATAAAATTATCGTCAAGGAGAGATTTGCGACTGAAATTATTTAAATTGTTTATCGTGCTTTTGATAATAAACGCAGTTGTGGTTCGGCTGTTGGTATATTTGTTTAGTAATAATTTATAGGGCGTGCAGGGAAATTTTGAAGGGACAAGGCTCGCGTAATCGCGTTTCGGTCGACGAAATGAGGGGAATCGGAAGAAAACAAACTAACGGGCTTTCGTAACACGCGCGCCAGGTTTCTTTCCTGATCCAAGTAGACGCAAACGAAGATACGAGTATTTGTTTGCGGTAGATTCCCTCGGGAAGCCATCCGGAGATAACGGATCCAGGAAGTTTCCACTATTTAGCCGTGTACAGAATGTTTCTTTACTTCGTGGCGAGCGGATAAGGCAACCAGATTGTGGAAACTTCAGAAAGCTACAATAGGCCCTTTTCTGACGATTCTAGCAATCCGTGCTTGTCACACGAGCTTCGCTATTCGAATACCTTTTCGCGCCAAAAATTAAATTATCGTTTTATTCAACGTTCAAAGAAAAATTGCGAAAGGGAAGCCTAATAATAATTACATAACACGCTAAAAATAAGGTGACACCTTTCTTGTTTGTTAAAATTTGTTATTTGAATACCTTTTTAAATTTTTATTCGTTATAAAATTTGCCTAACTCTGATTATACAGTGTTTAGTCAACCGTGGGAAAAATTTTAATGAGCGATTTTAGAGGCCAAAATAAGACGAAAATCAAGAATACCAATTTGTTGATGGAGGCTTCGTTAAAAAGTTATTAACAATTAAATTCAACAATTTCAAATCGTTCTGGAAAAATTATTTTCGGCTGCGGGGGTTAATTACAATCATTTTTGGTCATTACACATACCTCCGAAATCCTATCCACTTTCGAGAAAAAAATTCGAGAAGGTACTGACATTTTTAGACGAAATTAAAATATTTAATATCATACTAAAAAAATTATATTTAGTTACAAGGGTCGATTACAATCATTTTTCGTCATTACACATACCCTCGAAATCCTACGCACTTTCGAGGAAAAAATTCCTCACCGAAAATCGAATTGTTTGCCTAAATTTTTCGACGGAAAAAAAAGAATTTCAAATCGTTTTGGAAAAATTATTTTCGGTTGCGGGGGTCAATTGCAATCATTTTTGGTGAATAGACATACCCTCGAAATCTTGCGCATTTTCGAGAAAAAAATTCGAGAAGGGCGGAACTTTGAACGTTAGTAACTTTTTAACGAAGCCTCTATTAAAAAATTACTATTCTCGATTTTCGTCTTAGTTTGGCCTCTAGAATCGCCCCTTAAAATTTTTCCCTGGGTTGTCTGAGCACCCTGTGTATCTCGAGATATTTATCGTGTTACTACCCCCGGATGTTACCACCATCCCCTTTCTCCCCTATTTTCCGACTAGAATGGCCAATTACCATGGCGCGTGTTGCTTTTTTTCGAGCAATCTCGCGCCATTGTGAGGACCAAAAACGGAATTATCTTTCTGTCATCCCTCCTGGTCGTCCATTGTCTCGATCATTAATCACTGTCGCAAGCTGTAACTGTCATTGGATCGTGTAGTCCGTCACGGTCATCAATTTTCGATGGCAAAGTTCAACGGTTGCATGAACGATATCGAATTCGAAAGAATTTTTTTGGAAAAATTCTGACAAAACCAAAACTGTACAATCTAACAAACTTCCTATTCAAAAGATTGAATTTAATTAAAATTATAATTTACATTTAATAAAAGTGTCTTTTCATTGCAATAAAAAACATTGTATTCCAATTTCAAATGTTATTATCAATTTTCCTTTCGCGAAGGAAGTTTTCGTAATGAAAGCTCTAATTAAAATTCCTTCAGTGCCAACGAGAATAGGTTCGATCGCCGATAAAGACTCCGGGGAAAACTGGCGTCTCGTTTCAAAAGAAATTTAATTTAATTATACCGGTTCCCTGTACTAATTATAAAACACAAAGCGACTGGAATAACTGTTTTTTTTTATTTACCTGCACTCATCGACAAAAATCTTCCAGCAGTTCTATTAACAATAGAACTACCAAAATGGTCAAAATGATTCTTAATTTTTAATAAACATTTATTTCCATTGCATTATACGTTTTTTTAAATATCGTAATATCGGTAAATCAGTTTATCGGTCGATAAAAAATACCTTCAAACATTTACCGACATTCGGTTCTTTTTTACCGATAATTAAATCGCGAAATGTCGGTAAATTATCGGCATATTTACGATACCCATTAACGATACTGCAGTACACATAAAATTTTCGCGTGCAACTTTACAAAATAAATAAAGTTAACCATATTTCTCCAAGTATCTATCGTTTTAATTGCTCTGGTAGAAATGAATACACTATAATTGGTAGTTCTAGCGTTAATGGGTCAAAGAGATAAATCCCTGTGAATTTTTAATAGCGCAGTAGATTAAAAGAAGTAACAGGAATAACGTTTCGAGCAAACAGACTTATTATTCGAACCATTGCATTGGAACAGCGCGAGACCTTGTTTACTGGAACGGACCTAACGATAACGCGTTACGTTTGCTCCGTATAAAACTGTGACATTTGACTGAAATGTCTCTGGGAGTAGAAAAGTCGCGAAAACACAATTAGAGACAGGACGGGCGGTCTGAAAACGTAAAAACCGAATCGTCCTGTTCCAGTTTCCGTTTCTGACATATCCGGGACCCTCCTCAAGGTCATCTCCGTTCTTTCATCAGATTGCCCTACTTGTTGCCACCGATTACATAATCTCCCGTGTTACCTCCTGGTAAAACTAATTTATTACTCAACGATCATCTCCGCTCGTCCGATCGACTATCGCCGGTGGAATGAGGATGTCCTCTATACTCTTCCCTGACATTTCGCAATAGACGACCCTCTCGATTATATGAAAGAAAGGTCTGAAAATGTTCCCCACGATTATGCATAAAAAAATACATTATTATTAAATACACTCGTTGTATACAGGGTGTTCGACTGGGGAAAAATTTTAATGGGGGATTCTAGGGGCCAAAATAAGACGAAGATCAAGAATAGTAATTTTTCATTTGAGGCTTCGTTAAAAAGTTATTAACACTTGCTAATAATTGTTAATAACTTTTTAACGAAGGCTCAAATGAAAAATTACTATTCTTGATTTTCGTCTTATTTTGGCCTCTAGAATCCCCCACAGTAATGCCCACTTAAATGACCGGTCGCGGTCACTTAAGTGGGCATTACTGTGGGTGATTTTAGAGACCAAAATAAGACGAAAATCAAGAATATCAATTTTTCGTTTGAGGCTTCGTTAAAAAGTTATTAACAATTAACTGTACGCAATTGCCTATCAACAGACGCAACTGTTAATAACTTTTTAACGAAGCTTCAATTAAAAAATTACTATTCTTCATTTTCGTCTTATTTTGGCTCCCAGAATCATCCATTAAAATTTTTCCCACGGTTGTTTGGACACCTTGTATAAATACTATGGGGAACACAAAATATTGAACAATTATAACGTTTATAAATCTTGTGAAATATATTTCTACTTGAATACATTTTAACTGTCTGGAAAAGTGAAACATCGTACATATACGGTGTTTCGAAAGTACGGATTGAATGTTGTCGGGAAGCATCGATTCTCGAAACGCGCGGACGATCGATCCGTGGGCGTAAATATAAAAATGAGAATATTTCCTTGGGCCATACAGACATATTTTTGTGCATGGATTAAGCTACGCCCTATATTTCGTGACCCAAATCTTGTGAGGTCGCGTTCGCGCGAAAGGTACAATTTCGTAAATGACGCACGATACTCAAGATACATTCGTCCGTTAGGGACGTGTCGAACTGTTTACAGAGTTGTCGCGCGACCGGAATCGGTTTTCGAAAATATCACAGCGGCGCAGAGTCGCGAAACTTTCCTACTGTTACGGACCAAAAGCGGTAAACAATTCCAGACGAACTGGGTCAGAGACAAATCAACGATGAAAACAATCAGTTTTGACTCTAATACCCACTCGATGCAAGGAATTTGCATACGAAATAAAATCTCCATTTCTCGACAGCCACTATGCGTGGTTATAAATTTTGGAAGAGTTATTTTATTATTCAGAACATATGCAATAATTGTAGACTACTGTGAGGCATTGAAAGTGGAGAAATAATAATTCACTGATAAGGTACGTTATCTTTAAGAATAACAAATGGCTGAAGTTTGAGGTTAAACGCAGTTA